TCCCGGGTGTGGGGCTGGCACCGGCGGTGCCGGCTGCGCGCACGGCCGGGCGCCGCGGTGCTGGTCGCTCAGCGCAGCACCACGGCCGCCTGCGGAGAGCGCGCGCGGCCGGCGCCCACAGGCAAATCCAGGCCCGAGGATGGCACCAATGGCACCGGGTCAAAACTGCCTTAGTGCTGCCTGCCCGGTGCGACAGCCCCGTGCCCGGAGCCGGTCCCATGGAGCGGCGCTCCTCGACATCTCCTGCCTCCCCGGACCCTCGGCCGCTGGAGCCCAGCAAGACGCGGGTGCAAACCCGGCCCCATCTCGGGGCACCGTGAAGGTGCAGGCTCACATGGAGCCTGCGGAATCCTGGAAAATCCTGCGGAAAGGATTGGTGCCCGTGCGCTGTACCGCAGTGCCCAGCTCCCAACAGTTTTCTTTCCAGAAGTTTTGTCTAGCTGGTCAGGGGGATTCACTGCAAATTTCATCGGAAAACAAGAGGTTTCAGGCACGATGTCCCGGCGAGATGAGGCAGTGGGACCCTTGGGCACCGCGGCCACGGCGGTGTCCCCGGCGCACTGCCCTGTGCGCTGGGTCAAAAGGGAAAGCATTGTGCTCCCCCGCGGCCAGCAAACACGCGCTGCCCTTTGAAGCCTTTGAGCGGATTTGGTTAAGCCGGTGTCCGTTTGACTAGCGCGCCGGGAGGAATGCGCAGACTGCTTGCGTTTGAGGCTGGGCTGTTTGCAGACATCGCCGGCCGCCCCCCTCGGCGCTGCGAGAAGATACGGGGCCCGGCGGAGGCTCGGCGAGGCCGGGAGCTCCCTGGTGGGCGCCCACGTGGGCACTCGTGTCCTTTGCTCACGTTCACGCTCTGCGCAGGGCAGAGGGGCAGGGTGTCACCGCGTGCGGCACGGAGATGCTTCACGCAAAGAGTCGGGTGTCACCACGTGTGCTCAGAGCAAACACCCGACGGGACTGGCCCGGGCCAGGCCCGTGTTACGCGGGGCTGCCTGCTGCCCGGCGCAAACAGGCAGATGGCTACGGAGGAGCCCGCGGCGGAGGCTCCCGACGGCACAAAGGCACTCGGTGCGTCCCTACGTGTGCACAGCACATGCAAAGCGGGGGACACGCAGGGCACGGCGTGGGGGACATGGGAAAGCTGCAGCCTCCAGCGGAGCCAGGGAATGGGGGGAGAAAAGGGCAGCACATCCACCCCAGGGAGCTGAGCGGCCGGCAGCGCTTCCGAGCGCGGGGCAGGAGGCGCGTGGGTTCCCGGACATAAAGCAACCCGAAAAGCCAAAAGCGCTAACGTGCACTAGGGCCTTGTCCCACCCCATTCCTGCACAAAACCCGAGCCGCAGAAACTTTACACTCTCTTTTAATTCCAGCAACTTTTATTTTACTTTTCTATTCAGCAAAATTAATTTTCCTCCCTGTAATTAAGATGCCGTCCAAATGGATTCTTAATTACAGATAAATCACAAATCTACACACTCAACTGTTATGCTTTTCAAGTAATAAAAGAGATCATTTGTCTTCTTCAGATGAACAGAGACCAAGTAGCACACCATTTCCCCCTTTATGAAGAATTCATTTGCCTTAGAAAGAAAGCCTTTAAAAAAACATTGCAAGGATTTCTTGAATAGGGGATCAAAGCTCCCACACCGCTGGAAACCATTTTTGCTAAATAAGATGTAGGCAAAGAAAAAAAAGTAAAAGTTTTGGGGTAGTGATGGGGATTACAACACCCTTGGGAGGGACGAGGCCGAGGGGTCAAGAAGTTGTGACCAGGTTAGCAACACAGGGAACAGAAGGGGAGGACAAAAGAACAGAAAGTGGAAATGGACAGATGAATGAGGAAGCATGTTTCTTTGCCGAAAGAGAATAGATGCTACATCAATTCATACTGAGAGCTAAAGGCTGAGGGCCTGTTAATGGATTGGGGGACACAGCAGGGATCAGAGGTCATGAGTGCACTCAGCCAGGCTAATTGACTGTTATGTGCATATTAGTGATGATAAGTTAGTATGAGAGTGGGACATGGGGAGCAGGTATGTAAAAGCCCCCTTTACAAGCTTAGTCCTGTAAATCCTGCCTTACAACAGCTAAAATGTATACATTTTTTTTTTTAAAGAAGTTACTGGTCTTCACTGTCTTTTTCAGGAGGGGACTGCAGTAGCAGCATCAGGCCACATTATGCCCCCCATTTTGCAGAATTTTAGGTGTGAGCATAACCTACTGCACTGCTGCACTTCACTTTCCCTGTGTTGCTTTGCATTAACTACAGGGAACAAATAAAATTATCCTTTGCCTTGTGATGCTTCTCTGGCAGGTGTCTGAGGGGGTTCAGCTCTGCAAGCCTTGATGTTGCCTTGCTCAGTACAAGCAGGGGTGGAACTCAAAAAGAGCGAAACCAGCTCCAGCCCATCTAGAAACCTTGAGGATCAAATGCAGCGTTAGGGAATAGTGCAGCTTTGAGCTGATTTCACAGAATCAAGACCCAGCCCAGCACGCTCTGCTAGCGGAGAGGGTTTCCCCAGTTCCCCCAGGCAGCTCTACCATTAATTACTGCGTTAGTTGCTGGGCTGATCTGAACGCCCTTGGAAGGAATGGAAATTTCCCCTTGCTGGAAATTCAGTATCAGCACCGACTTGGCAATTAGTGCCCGGCCGTGGACAGAGCAGCCTCGGGGAAGCACAGCAGGGCCCAGCGCCCTGCCAGGGGACGATGGCTTCGCATTAACGCGGGCGGCCTCGCGCTGGGCCGGCGAGCGAGGCGAGCGCAGCCCGGGCCCCGGCGCCGGCCTCTCCCTCCACTCGGGGCAGGGCAATTCGACCGCCGCGTCAAGGAGACTCGAGCCCCACGGCGCTGCGTGCCGGCCTTGGGGCCAGGGGCGGCTCAGGGAGGTCCCTGCCTCCCGCCTCTGCCTCGCAGCGCCCAGCGCGGCCACCTCGGGAGCCACAAAGGGGCTTCCCTGTCCATTGACGGGGGGAATATTTCCCGTTTCCTCACTCTTGACTCTGCTGACAGCATCTCTGGGGTGAGTGATGGATATCGGCAGTGTATGGGAGATGATTTATAGTTCTTTGTCACACAAATTCCTCTGCATTCTTCCCCGTCCTCTCACAGCAACCATTAGCCACCTCTTCCCGCGGACGCGCAGCGGCGTGCGCCCCGGGAACGACCGCGCGGATGCGGCGCGTTCCTGGGCCGTCTTCCTTTGCTGTAAACACATATATAGAAATGCATCGGCACGGGGCACTAAAGAAGGAAGCGGCAGTGTCAGGTCGGTGCAGCCACCCAAGGTTCCCATACGACTGCGTCCATGTGTCCGCAGGGAAGTCAAAAGGTTGGCCTAGAAAAGCTGCTATAAATCAGGCAGATACGGACTGTAGGGAGGATCGAGTTTATGCAATTTTTCATCCCAAAGCCTCGTAATTAAAGAAGTGACCATTACAGGAGGAACAACCAGCGCCTGTTTTTCTTAGGACTCTCAGAGTTTGGCAATGTAAACATTTAGCCCTTGAGAATTTTATTGCATAAAACAGTTTTTGTAATGCTGATGTTATGCGGCTTAATTGGATTTCTGTTTGTTTTACTTCAAGAACACCAGGAAAAATAGCAGTATCATTTGATCTGCTGCAAAGTACTAGTAGCATGCCTGTATTGTCAGGGTCCCCAAGCTTATCGTAATGCATAAATGCATGAATTAAATAAATGTCGATCTTTATCTCTGCAAAGCTTTCTGATTGCTTGAGCAGCTGAGTTGCCAGGCTTGTTCCTCTTTGCCCCTGGAGCTTTTCTGAGTGCAGTGACAAATGCTTGACTTTAACGTGGGCACCGTGGGGACTGCTTGCTCCGCTTCGTGGTACACGTGTGCTTGAACGCTATATCGAGCCAGGGCTCAAGAGCACAACTGCAGGACTGAGCCCTCAATGTTTTTGACTAAGCTGGGTTTGAATGAGACCAAGTGAGGGTGGACTTAAATCTTCATTGAGAAAGAGAGCGCCGCTTGTTGCAGGGCCCAAAGGGAACCCCCGGGCTGCTGCTGAAGGGGTTATAGTTGGAAAACAAAATGGAAACACGCTAATAAATCACTGGTTTGTGTTGTCAGAGGATGCAGGCCCCAGGGACCTACTGCTGACCCTGCAGCTCGCACAAGTGCCGGGTGCCCACCCAGCTGCTCCCGACCCTCCTGCTTTTACTGAACAAGTTCCTCAAAGAGGCGGGACGCCACGGGCCCAATGCACCCGCC